GGTATGTTGCCCCGGCGTTCTTTAGTCCAAACGGCATCACTTTGTAACAGTAAACTCCCTTTGGAGTGATAAACGCCATTTTTTCCTGATCTGGGGGATGGAGAGGGATCTGGTGATATCCTGCTCGGGCGTCCAGGAAGTCTATGCGTTCATATCCGGTAGTGGCATTCATTAGCTGGTCCACCTTTGGTAGGAGGTAGTCGTCCTTGGAACATGCCTTATTTAGATCTGTGAAGTCTACGCAGACACGCCATTTTTCCCCTTTCTTCTTCGCGCAAACCGTGTTAGACAGCCATTCTGGGAACTGTATCTCCCGAATGGCGTTGGCCTTCAGGAGTTTGTCAATTTCTTCGTTGACCACGCAGGCGTGATGCGGGGCCATGCGTCGTGGCTTCTGTTTTACTGGCTTGTGCGCGGGGTCAACATGCAGCTTGTGCGTGATTATCTCGGGGTCTACTCTCGTCATTTCCATTGCGTTCCAAGCGAACACGTCTGCATTTTTCCTCAGGAACTCAATCATCTCCTCCTGTTTGGCTGCGGGCATCGCAGTTCCCACTAAGAAGTATCTTTCTTCTTCTCCCTCCACCAAGGGCACCTTCCGGAGGTTCTCCACCGACCGTTCCGTTGGGTCAATCCGGGGGTCATCCATTCCTGGACGCTCGGACTGTGATTGCTATTTTTCCATGATCCCCTCTGGCGTGGCGAATTTTAGTTTCTGGTGATAAGTGGAATGCACTGCTCCCAACGCATGCAGTCATGCTCGTCCCATGATCACATTGTAGGGAGAGTCCGTATCAATCACGACAAACTCGGTGTTGATGATGAAGGGACCTGTGACAACTGGCAATGTGATTTTGCCTATGGGCAGGGCGAACGAGCCGTTGAATCCGATGAGGGGTGTCCTGACCTTGGTGAGGTCCTTGAGGCCAAGATCCATCCGTTTTAAAGTGTCAGAGTACAGCACTTCCGAGGAACTTCCGGAGTCTATCAACACCCTCTTGACGTCAAACTTACCTATCTTCAGGGTTAAGACAAGGGCGTCGTTATGAGGAGTCACCACGCCTGTCAAGTCCGCGTCAGAAAACGTGATGCTGGGCTCACCAGTCCTGGCCCTTTTACTGGGTGGCCCCCCATCATCCTCAGCTATCTTCCTTGTAAAAGCTACCCTCTTGAGATCGGACTCGAGTTCCTTGGACGTGGGGCGATCTAGCGGACATACATGGATGACATCTATGACGTTGTCCGGCTCCTCGGCCGGGGCTGGGGTGTGTCTCTCTTCTGGCCTGGGCTCTATGTATTCTTTCAAGTATCCGTCTCGGACCAATCTTTCCAAGAATGATTTGTATACCCTGCAGCTTTCGGTGCGATGTCCGAAATTCCGGTGATAGAAACACCTAACCTTTTGATCACGGGTGGAGGGATCGCTCTGCATCCTAGGCGACCACTTGAAGAATGGCTCATGTTTTATCTTATGAAGCAACTTGAAGATGGGTTCCTTGAACATAGTTTGAACGACCCCCCCGGAGGGGGTAGCAGTCCCTTTCGGGGAGTATCCTCCCGCTCCCTCTCTTTTCTCTTAGATTGGAGGGTTCGGCCTTTGCTGCTTCCCATCTCGTCCTCGATCCTTGAGTACTTGTTTATCCGGGCCATTAGCTCGCCCATATCCGAGGGAGTCTTCTTGGTCAGGGATCGGTATAGGTCTGTGTCCCTTGCCAAGCCGAGTCTGAAAGACGCCGCTGCCATGACTTCCGAGCAGCCCTCTACCTCATTAACCTCTTCCTAGTACCGGATGGCGTACTGGCGAAGGGTCTCGGATTCCCTATGTCTGAGCGTTAGCAATGATCCAAAGTCTTTAGGCCGCTTACTCCCCGTAATGAATCTAGCCAGGAACTGCCTCGTCAATTCCTTTCACGATCCAATGCTGTTGGGGGGAAGCGCCTCAAACCACTTCATCGTAGAGTCCCTCAAGCTCATAGGAAAAACTCGGCAGAGGAACCGTTGGTCTGAATGATACAGGGACATCATTTGCTTGTATTGTCTGAGATGGGCTTCGGGATCGGACCGCCCGTCATAAGTTTTGAACCTAGGTACGACGAACTTTCTTGGAACCTTCATCTCTCCGATCTCCCTGGTAAAGGGTGTTTGTATGACCTCGTCTTCGACCTCATCCTGGACAGCCTTACTTTTTCTCCTGGATTCTAACCAGGCTCTGAGATCAATTTCCTCCCCAACGGGATGTCTTCTGAAGTCCTTGAGTTCATCAATAGGTCCCCCATTTCCTGGGCGCCGTGTGGATAGGGTTGAATCCTCCTCGGACTCATCTTCCTTCCTTCGTCTCGACAATCCTCGGTGAAGGTCGTCCAGGGCTAAAGGCCTTGCCTTCCTGGAATGGTCGTTAAGAGGGTGCTCGTTGGCTCTCGGTCGCTTTGGGGCCCTGGAACTTTCTGCCTTATTGTTTAAATGATTCCTTAGATCCTTCATTTCTGCCTCTCGGGCGGAGAGCCCACGAGAAAGGAATGAGTTCATCGACCCTTCGCCGGAGGCGGCGAATTCGTTCAGCCGGCTTAGGACGTTCACATTGTCCTTTTCCAACTGTCGTAATCAATATCCAAACTTTTTTTCGATCACCTCCGCCAGCTGACGAGCCAAGGGGGCGGATCCTCCTGACCTGATGCCCATACTGGTTTGAGGGGTAACCCCTCTTGACTGAATAGAGGTATTTTTATTCCCATCAGTGTGATCCCTCCCTCCATGGTGACATAGAGCTTGTAATTCGAGACTTCTTTGTTGGGGACCTTTCTCTTTTTGTCGAGTATTCACCATGGTCAATGTTCTTTACAAAGAAGAAACTAGGAAAACTAGTCGTTTCCCACAGACGGCGCCAGATTGTGCGTGCTGGATCTTGCACAATATAAACACGAGAACAGATCTCTCCCTTGGTGAACTCGAGTGAGTCAGTCGAGTGGTGAACCCTGCTGCTTGGAACAGCCTGTGAGGTCCGGTGGTAACCTGAAACGGTAATGGGAGACCCTCGTGGATCAATGGAACGATCCAGTAAGGCTGAGGAAGGTTCTTGGAACAAAGAAAGACAAGTTAGAAGGGCGCCGGAGTGTTTTTCGGCGTATCCCCTCCGACGATCAAGTCAGTTATTGAGAGAGAGGAAGAAGAAAACACTGAGTATAATTTGTAGCAAAGGTTTCACCTCGTTCTCCTTCTTTTGTGAGGAGTATTTATACCTCAAATACTCATGATTGCTGTCAATGTGGTCAGTAGGTGATCATTAGATACAGGCAACGTGCGTACTGATTCCTACGAGGAATGTCTTCTCTTTTAACTGCTCGGGATTCCGAGCAACCAAAGTTGTGTCATCGGCCTGCCGACTGTTCAATGAGCTCCTCTCGGCAAGGATGTAATAAATGTCCAGCCTTAGAGACATTTATTACCTTTCACTTTCGAGTCTTACCGCATTAAATGCTGTCTCATCAAGGGAATTGTGTAATTAAATGCTTGCTTTCCCGAGTCGTATGTCAGCAAGGGCATCCGGTCTTTCTGTTTCTGATGTGACACAATATGTCACGCGTCCATTCCCCATTGGCTGTGTCCCCTGCCTTCTTGAGCCTTCTGACACCAATTGTGTAAGATGAGGTCATGATGGCTAACCTAGCCTAGGCTAGGCTAGTGACCTGTACATCAGTAGCCTCCGCGGGAGCAGAGAATGCCATCCTAGACGGTACACCTCGGAACCGAGAAGGAGGTACATCTCGGAGCCGAGGGGGAGGTACATATAGGGACCGATATGCCATATCCCCCGCCCCGAGGGATACATGTTGGTACGTAACATACTGGATGTCATTGATCCCTACGACCCAGTACCTCGTGGGAGAGGGACTTGTGAACCGATGGGTACGCGTCGTGATCATAGTAACAAGATTTTAGTGACACCGAGGACACGTGTCTTCATCTTGAAATATTATGGAAATGTCCCATCACCTATCAATTGGATTAGGTGGGGCGGGTTCAGGACAAAAAGTATTATACTCATACTTGATTTGTTTATTAATTTTTATTTAAGAATAGTGTCATATTGGGTGCGTGTCGTGTATGAATCGTGTATATCAAGTATATAAATGAATCGTCGTGTTGTGTATTTTTTTTTGATTAATTTCACTCATACCCAATTCGTTTATTAATCATATTATGTTAGGTCCACTCGTTTACTAAAAAGGTGGCTTAACGAAGACTCAAACCCTCTAATTTAGTGTCATGTTCGTGTCGTGTTAACGAGTTTTGACACCCCTACTTGTGAGTATTATTGAATTTGATTAGTGGGAAGACTGTCGGGAAAAAAAGTATGCTCTTTGTTAACTCTGCTTGTATCCCAGCTAATCCTCTGGGATCTCTAGCTTTGACCTATTCTGATGGTTTCTGCTTTTTGAGTATAGGATACTAGTATGGTTTTGTGCTGGACCGCCTGGCTTCTAAGGAAGGAAAGAAAAGCTTCAAAGCATTGGGATAATGCACATACTATGCTGTCCAATGTGGCTTCAAATGGGGGAAAATGGATATTGAATTAAGTTAATATATGCTCAGCCTAGTATTCGTGTACTTTGTTCCGTGTTTTCCTAAAGTCACTAAGTTTATGTAATTCTTAAATTTTATTTTACATAATCCTTAGTAATTAAATCCAAATCTATTAGGACAATGTCATCTGTCTGTGCACCATAAAAGATGTCCGATCTATCAACTTGATGAGATCAAAAAGAGTAATTCATACGAAACTATGTTGATTTCTAATGCAAGTCATTTCCACTTATGACATTTTCGATTATTAGGTGTACATTCTTTTGAGAAAAACGAAATTCAAAATTATGCATTCGGTTAGTTATGTCATAGATCAGCAGGCTGCCCGTTGCCCCCACAGGACTTGTTACAAGCAGTTCAATGTGTCAGTCTTCACACCTTGGTTTATCAGTTTTCCAATTTCTACCTATTTGTTGCAGGGGAAAGCTTCGAGGAATGTGCGGCCAGAGAACTGATGGAGGAAACTGGTTTGGCAATAGAGAACATTGAGTTCTTAACCGCCACCAACAATGTCTTCTCAGATGCAGGAAAACCAGTGCATTTGGTTGTTGTCTTCATGCGTGCAGTGTTGGCAGATCCTGATCAACTACCCCAAAATCTCGAGCCTGACAAGTGTTATGGTTGGGATTGGTATAACTGGAACAACCTCCCAGAACCACTCATCCAACCAATAGAATCTGTAGTGCGGACTGGATTTGATCCCTTCCCTGCTCATGAAAAACAGTGAGACATTGCTCATTTGCTCTGCTCTACAGGCAGCTTTCAGATGACTGGAATTTACTCCCTCTTGTTGGTCGGTTTTGCTGGGAAATCTCACAACTTGATAGTATTGGAGCAACAAACTCAGGAGTGGTAATCTTATTGTCTCTCCGACATGTTGAATAAACCTATGTAAACGGTTATGACTTGATAAATAAGTGGTTGCTAAATGGGAGGTTTCAATCATTGTTATTTTCTTTCATGTTCCATGGAATCAAAGCAGCTAGCATGCTTTAGTGGAAGTGGTTGAGGGTGAGCTCTTGTCTCCACTTTGTTTTGCATCCTAAAACATGCACTATGATCAAATGAAACATGAAAAGCCAGCCCAAAAAGTACATAATATAATTAAAAAAAATGTTACATAACTTAAATGAAATTTAAATAGTTCAATCAAAATATATATCATTCATTGGATAATGGGTGTTGAATGAATGGGTCCCAGTAAAAAAATTGATCAGAATAGTTTTAAGTTGTAATTTTTCGAATTTTATATAAGTTGTGTGGCATTACTCAAAATAATATTAGGCAGACAAACATTGGGCTACCGAGCACTTCGGAATTTGGACGTTATCGTCGACTGGTGGGCTTAAAGTTTCTTTTCGTGCAGCCCAAGTAGAAAACAGTGACAGGGACGGCGGGAAAACAAACTACCCACTGGCGGAACTGAGAAATCGAAATCGACAAACGACGTCGTACCCGTTATATGTTTTTTTTAAAATAAAATTATACTTTGACCCTTTTAACTATGGACTCAATTAAATTTTTACATTATCCCTTTAACTACTTCAATTGATTTCACACTATTCTAAACGCAAAGATTCGATTATCTTTTGAATAAATAATTGTCACCATGAGTCCCGATATTACTTCATTCTACCCTATTCATGGAATTCATTTATTAAGACAAACGATTGAGAAAGAAAGACTTTACTTAAATTTTCATAGGATTTTTCACCAAAATAACTAATTGGGGTAATATGGAGTTAATATCATAGTTAGGTATAATGTGAAAAAAAAAAAGTTCAAGAGATAATATGAAAATAGATTCATTGTTTAGAGGCTCAAAGTGTAATTCTTAGGGAGTTGAACAGCATAAAGGGAGGTCTTGGGATGTCTGAAATGCTTCGTACTCAGAGAAATGGAGAACTGTGCAATGTCGAAGTTTGCATCCCCGTCGCCGAAAGTGGGGGTGGCAGTGTTTCTGTTGAAGGGAAATAGCGTGCTTTTGGGGCGGCGCCGATCCTCCATTGGCCACAACACCTTTGCCCTTCCCGGTGGCCACCTCGAGTTCGGTCAGTACCCCCAAACTCTCTCTCCTCCTCTCTCATACGCTCGCACACGCAGACATATATTTAGATATGTGTACATATGTAAACACCCATCTATGATTTATGTGCCTCTAAAGATTTTCATTCTGGTGTTTTTAGAATGGTAAAAAGATGATATTACCCAGTTTCGTCTCTGTTAATCAGGGATGTTTAAAGGGTTGAACTGGGTACAAACTTAACTTGTATCGTCGGTGATTGTCTTGTAGTCGAATGCACAATCTTTTATGTTTCAGAATGATATAAAAAGATTTTCAATTGATGTGTACTTGGTTTCTGTGAATAACGAGGATATTGGCGAATATATAGTGTGAAATGGACACTCAACCCATCTAATTTGAGAACTCCCCGCCATCTGTTTGAGAGAATGTTCAAGAAATTAATATAAATTGCTGGTGGGTTCTTGGTTAAATGTTAACCAATCGAACAATTATGGAATGCCAGTCCCTGATACTTGTAAAGAAAAGGTCATTGTAATTGGGAGGTTGGTAACTTTCCTAAAGCTAGTGAGGAGAATAATGCTTCTTGCACTGAAAAGGTTTTAGAATGGAGATGCTAGTATATTAGAAACTATGTTGCAAACCCCAGGAAATCAGAAAGATAATTATGATCATGTATGAAAAAGGGAAAAACAACTAAGAGTTATTAAGAGTATTGATATGTTCTTTTCATAATTAAGAGTTAATTAAGAGTATTGATATGAAAAAGGGAAAAACACTGAAAGATAATTATGCTTTGAAACTAGTATTGACATGTTCTTACTATTCTATTCTAGCTATAAAATAAAAATAGTTAATGATACATATGGGATGAAAATAAACTCAACCATGGAAATATGTCTTTCTTAATTAAGCTTTTGGGTTCTTTTTCGTTGTTGGATCTCGTTATGTTTGGTGGGTTTCGCATCAGCTTTTCTTTGAAATATAAACTTAGCCCTTTTTTGAGTACTAATAAATTTTGTTTCCAAAAGAGTGGTGAATTTGGGTTGTGGAAAGCATTGTTGGTACAATATGCTCTTCTTCAACTCTTATTGTGTCCCTGCTAATTCTCAGGGATTTCATCAATAGGCCAATTGGCTTTGGCCTCTCTTCATGGTTTCTGCTTACAAATATTGGTTTGGAATACTAGTATGGCATTGTGCTGAAATGTCCACCTTCTTTGGTGGTTTTACATTAAGGAAGGGAGGAAATAAAAGCTTTTAACCATTGTGATAATACACGTCAATCTGTCCAATATCCATTCAAATGAAGCATATAGATCTTCAATGAAGTAATCTGTGCACAGGCTAGCACTCGTGCACTTCAGCCCGAGACTTACCAGTTTTACTTGAGGTTTATGCTCTTCATAAATTCTAGTCGATTCCAAATCAATTAGAACAATTTCTGCTCAAGTATCAACTTGGTCAAATCTGAAAAAGAAATTCTTAGGAAATACTGAATCCTAATGTAAACCTGTATTCTTGAGACATTCTTGTATCATTTGCAGTACATTCTTTTGATACAAAAGAAAAGAACAAAGAAAAATGTCTTCAGTGAACTTTGCAACAGATTAGTAGGCTGCCCAGTTTTTCACACTGGTTCTTCTTATGGGCAGTTAAAGTGTCAATCTTATACCAACCCCATCTTTTTCAAATTCTTTTCAGGGGAAAGCTTCGAGCAATGTGCATCCAGAGAAGTGAAGGAGGAAACTGGCTTAGACATAGAACAGGTTGAGCTCCTAACTGTCACCAATAACGTATTCTCACACGAAGCAAAACCAGTGCATATGGTTGTCATCTTCATGCGTGCGGTGTTGGCAGATCCTGATCAGGTGCCCCAACTTCTTGAGCCCGAAAAGTGTTATGGTTGGGATTGGTACAACTGGAACAACCTCCCAGAACCACTCTTCGGACCTTTTGAAACTATGGTACGCAGTGGATTTGATCCCTTCCCTGCTCATCAAAACAATGAGAGACAATTGCTCAGTTGCTCTGCTCTGCAGACAGCTTTCAGATGACTAAAATTTACACCCTTTTCTAGGCCGGTTTCTCTGGGGAATCTTACAACTTGATATTATTGGAGCCACGAAATCAGCAGTGTTTTTCTCATTACCTCTCCACGTTTTGAAATCTATGTACACGATTATGACTTCATAAATATATCTTGAAAGGTTTCAGCTCATTGTGACATTATTTTTGCTTTCCTCTGTAGTATGTTTTAGCAATTTCATTGCTGGGCATTATTCATGAACCAGGGAATCAAAGCAGCATGCTTCTTGGGAAGCGGTCATGGGGAGAGCTGTTGTGTCCACTTTGTTTTGCATTCTACAGCATGCATGGTGATCAAATAAAACATGAACAAACTGCCCAGCATTTACAACGTTTTTGATACGTGGCGATGGTGTTGCAAAAACGACATTTGGTTGTGCATGAGATCGGTGGTTCTAGTTGAAAATCTTTGTCCACAGGCGAAACAGAGCAGCAAGAATTAATTGTAAAAGATGAAAATCACCCGGAGTTATCAAAGGTAAAACAAGAGGGTAGTTGGATTGTGTCACACATCTTCTAATAAAACCTCACTAACCAGTATATCAGTCTCGTGGGCTTCTATATTTAATGGCTAACTGATTTTGAGTTGGATATTTTAATATTGTATCACTCTGTCATGAATGTATAACAAAGCCTGAAGCGAATCGGGTTACAACGTTCGTTACAAGAAAGAATGAGAAGAAATTTGGAAATCCTTGTGGATGCAATTGCTGCGTGTGCTATTGATTAGTCACTAATTCGTCGCCATCAAAGGCTTTGATGTTTCGAATCATGAATTTACTTTCATATAATTGCTAGCAGTCATCATATAATGCTTTTGAGATAGAATGTGGGTGGATGCCTTTCAGAAAAGAGCAATATTACATTTACTTAAAAATTAAACTTGATAATTATAACTATTGATTTCACTGTGGGTCTTAGTATTTATTGAGACTCACTATCTATTCAATGATTGTGATTCTTAAGTCTAATTTTTTTAATTTAATTTTTAAGTCAATGTAACATTACTCTTCAAAAAAATATATTGTCAATTTGTCATTGTTGTTTTTCAATGTATATCCGCAATCGATAGATATTATGAAAATTCTATAAAATAGACAAAGATCAAAATTTCATTTCAATACATTATTTTCGTCACATAAGAAAAATAAATGTTTCGAAGTGTTTCAAAAGCATTTTGATCCGTTTCGAAAACAAAATTTAAGAATTATTTTTTTAAAATATTGATCGAAATATACATAATATCTTGAAATACTTTGAAACATTCTAAAATAATTATGCAAATACATTGAAATATAACAAAATATTTCGAAACGTTATATAACACCTCGGAATATTAGAATTTTGATTTCATCGTTGAATCATTCCGGTCACCTTAGAAATGGAAACGTTTCAGATGTTTCGACCGATTTGAAACAATATTTTGAACCTTGAAAATAGGGTAGTGTTCTAATGTTGTCAAGTGTGAATTTACAGATGATTTGAATGGTCCAAGAAAAGAAGATGATTTATGTTGTGACCGGACCAAGATTTGAGTATCGAGGTAGACAGTAAAGTGATAAAAAAGTAAATAAGACACACACAAATAGACATAAAAGATTTACGTGATTCGGCTATTACCTACGTCCACGATAAATAATGATCAAATATTTTCACTATAAAGTAAAATAATAGTACAAAAACAATTGTATCTTGTCTCGTAAGTACTCACTCCTACTAAAGAAAATACATTCTAACCTCATTGATATCACTCGCTCTGAGATGTCTCACAACTCCCTATACTCAGAAATACTTATGAATCTGATGCCCATAACCCTCTGTCTGAACCCCTTTTATATGGGAATTCAGGAGAGGAAACGTCTAAGCAATTAGATAAGCAATTAAATATGCATGTGATTGAGCCATCAGACAAGCCGATTGAGAATTCATGTAGATAATTAATTTAAAGCTTTCTCCTAACCTTGACTTTTGTGCCATCTCCATTTCAGGCCACAAAAGGCTATGGCCTTCTAACCACTTTTTTAACAATTCTCCACCTTGGACAAAAGCTCCTCAAGCCATTTGAAAACTCACTCTCGATCGTTGTCTCCGATGCGCCTCACAAGGCACTTAAGTTGGTACGATATTGATCAAGTCCAAGCAATGCTTGAACTTACTTGTTAGAACTACCTTCATGATCATATCTGAAATATTTTCACAAGTGATGGCTTCATGATATATGACCAGCTCGCAAGCCTCAACATGCTCTGCCACACTAAGTGCGTAGGCAACATGATCCTCGTACCCATATCTTTGAGGCGGCTTAATCTGTCTCCTTTCTCTATCCCTAGTAAACATGTATACTTGTTGCTGCAGAGCCACATCAGAGTCTTGATCCTCTTTTGCATCTTGCCAGACTGGAACACCATCTTGTAAATCTTCTTGCAAGTTCTTTGGAGCTTCCACTTCAAACTCCACTTGCTTGTTGAGACCGTGGTCTTTTCTAGTATCAAGAGATTCTTTCTTCTTAGGTTCAAGCATAGCAAACTCATTAAAGGTCACACCCCTGCTAATAATACATTTGGATGGTTTAACGTTTTCACACCACAGTCTATAACTTTTCACCCCATTTGCATACCTTAGAAATATGCACTTCCTTGCCCTCGATTCAAGTTTACTATCATTCACATGAGCATAAGCAAGACAACCGAACACTCTTAAATGAGTGTAACTTGTAGGAGACCTGGCCCAAACCTCTTCAGGAGTCTTGTTCTTGATAGCTGTCGATGGAGACCTACTAACAAGATGACAAGTTGTATTGATAACTTCAGCCTAGAACTTCTTGGATAAACTAGCATTTGAGAGCATGCATAGTGTCTTCTCCAAGAGAGTTATGTTTATTCATTCTGCAACTCCTTTCTGCTTTGGTGTTTTCCTCACCGTGCGGTGTCTCACAATCCCTTCTTTCTTGTAGAACTCATTGAAAGTACTTCCACAGAATTCCATGTCATTGTCAGTTCACAAGCGCTTGATCTATGTTCCTGTTTGCTGCTTGATCATAGCCTTCCATTGTGTGAACTTTCCAAAAACATCATTATTGTGCTTCAATATAAATATCCAGACTTTCTAAGAATAGTCATCGATAAATGTCAACATATATCTTCCACCACCAAGAGAAGGAACACGAAAAGGTCCCAAAGGTTAGAATGGATATAATCCAAAGTACCCTTGGTTCGATGTATAACCATACTAAACTTCACTCTGCACTGCTTTCCGAATACGCAATGCTCACAAAAGTCCAGTTTTCCAGTCTTCTGGCCACACAACAAACCATATTTGCTTAGCACATTTAGTCTTCTCTCACTAATATGCCATAATCGCATATGTCATAACTTGGTAGTGTCTGAGCTTGAATCTAAAGATGAAGTTACGGCAACAACACTTGTCATTATGCTGCCCTGTAGTAGATACAGGCCATTCTACTTATCTCCTTTCATCACAACAAGAGCACGTTTTGAAATCCTCATGACTCCACCTCCAGCTTCGTACGTACAGCTATTACAGTCGAGTGTATCCAAGGAAATAAGATTTTTCCTTAGATCTAGAACATGCCTGACATTTGTAAGAGTCCTCACAATACCATCAAACATCTTGATCCGCATTGTCCCTATCCCAACAACCTCACATCCTACATTATTTTCCATTAAGACCTTACATCCATCGATTGATTGATAGGTGGCAAACCAGTCCTGATTGGGACACATAGGATAGGAACAATCCGAATCAAGAATCTACTCATCACTTGAGCTGCTCGTTGAACACATGAGTACATCAACATCAGTGAAATTTTTTTCTACAACACCGACAACTTTACCAGAATTTAAGTCTTCAATCTTTGCTTTGCCTTTATGCTTTAAACAATCTTTTCTAATTTGCCCTTCCTCGTGATAGTGAAAACATTTAACTTTTCTAAATCCTCCCCTTGATTTAGATCGGTCTCTGCTATTTGAGTCATTCTCCGTTGATCGTCCTCTTGCAACCAAGCCTTTGCCTAAGCTTCCATCTCTATTTTCAAACACCCTACTCTTTAACTCTTTCGAGTTCAAGGTTGCCTTTACATCCTCCATAAAAAGAGACTTTCTACCATACATCATGGTATTGACAAAGTGCGCATGTGATGGTGGTAAAAAAACACATGAGAATCATGACTTGAATTTCATCATCGAATGTATAATCAATGTTCTTTAGATCTAACATGATTTTATTATACTCGTTAAGCTGGTCATTGACAGGTGTACCTTCTTACATCTAGAGAGTGAATAACTGCTTTAACAAATACAAATGGTTCGTGATAGACTTTGTCGTGTATAGGTTCTCCAACTTTAGCCACAAACCTACAACTAAAGTTTCCACAACACCTTATTGTTAAGGCTCAATATGACACACTATGAGCCTTTGCCTGAATATCCTTCTTGTTGTCGTCTGACGTTGTTGTTGGGAAGGCATCTCTCCCTGCTACATCATTTTTCTCTATGGCATTCAATCCTTGTTGAACTAACAAGGCACGCATCTTTAAGTGTCACATACTGAAATTATTTGTTCCATCAAATTTTTCTACCTCAAACTTTGCGGTCATCGCAAAATTTCAAATTAAAAAATTTTGGCAAAATCAAGACGTCGGCGTCAGTGAATAGTGTCAGGTCAAGAGTGCTCGGGGCCCACCGATCATGAATAGTGCAGATGAATAGTATCTAGGCCCACCAATAGTATTCGGGCTCACCAACAATGCTCTGATACTAATTTGTTAAACAACGATTAAATGTTTTTATTATGGAATAAAACAACAGTATGAGAACAATTGTATCTTGTCTCGCAAATACTCACTCCTACTAGAGAAAATGTACTCCGACCTCACTGATATCACTCACTCTTAGATGCCTCACAACTCTCTATACTAAAAAATACTTTTGAATCCGATGCCTTTAACCTCTACCTGAACCCCTTTTATATAGGAATTCAGGAGAGGAAACATCCAAGCTATCAGATGCGCAATTAAATATGCCTGTGATTGAGCCACCAGACAAGCCGCTTGAGAATTCATGCGGAGATAATTCATGCAGAGAATCAGTTAAAGCCTTCAACTAACCCTGACTTTTGTGCCATCTCCATTTCAAGCCACAAAAGGCTAAGGCTGTCTGGCCACTTTTTCAACAATCTCTGTAGTGATAAGCACAATATAGGTGCAAGGAAACAAAAACATGCAATATAGATAATCGTATGGACAAGAAAAGAAGGGCCAACGTCGATTGCTATGATAATTATGACCTTGATAAATTTAGTCATTTGTTCAATGTTCAATGTTCAATAGCTAGGCAGATTTCTTCTTTTCTCGCTTCGCTTCTCTTTCGTATTGAATTTTCATTCATTTTGCCATTTCTTGGTCAGACGTTGATATTTGAGCACCATACTTCAAGGGCTGAAGCACTGATGCTTTGTCAAGCTGTTTTTTTGATGAATTTGGTAGGGTCCTATAGTTCTACACTATTTCAGTGGGTGGTTAATTTTTTAGAATATTTTGATTGTTATTTTTTTGTTATTTTCTTTTCAAGAAATTAATCACTTTTAATTAGGGGCCACTTTATGGATTGGATTGTGGAAATTATGGTTTTAGACTTCTTTCTTTCATTGAAGAAATTGTACGGACCTAAAAATGTGTTATTTTGCTTTATTTCATGCACTTCTGCTGGTAAATTAACTAATTATTCACAACAAATCTATGTGATGTATGAATTTATAAAACAGTGCCTTCATACACAGATATATATATTTTGAGAATTTTTTCTTTTTTTTTTTTGTGGATTCAAAATATATTTGTGTTCGATACATAAAAAACAGTGATTCTTTTGTGTAATTTTACCACTTCGTCAAAACATTAATACTATATTAAAAAACATCCCAACTCAAAACCATTTGAAAAATAGGTGAAGAGCTTCAAGCTCAAATATAAGTTTAATTAAGAGATGCTATTATTCTCTTGGAAGAGAAGGTGATCACTTATCATTGCTTGCTAACAAAAATGGCGGAGTTTTAATTACTTGCTCTAGATTGTCAAGGCACGTGTACCAAGACTAGGAAAGAATTGCCTTCAAAGGACTAGACTTAATATAACGACCTTTAAGATTATGTATCTTTATATGACATGCTTTGACCGCTACTTTAAAATTCACTTCTTCCTCTCTCTTTTTTTTTTTTTTTTATGTGAAGGTTAACTTTATTTCTTCTTTTAGTGAAACCCAATGCTTGGAACTGCCTCTTATGGCTCACCTTTCTGTTGTCACTAACTTTTCACATCGATTGCCAACTTTATTTCTGAGGAGGTCATTTTACATTGCAATATAGACACAGGGAAAGTGTACGTTTTTGGGTACCATACCGTTAGTTACTTCTCTTTATTGTAAAGTTATAATTTAGAAGGTCATGATGGATCATGAACTTGTGGTATCGATTTCAACCTTTTATGATCGATTATATCCTTTAAAATTGTAACTTACATTTTAAAAAAAAATATAACTTGCTTTAAAAAATTATAATTTTTGGTATGATACTGCTGGCGATAACATATCCTTTCCTATATATATATGAATATATTTATATATGCAAGAACATAAAGTTGCATAATGGAGGAGGAGATACTTGCAAGTCATGCAATCCCTGTTTTCCCATTGAAATCAGTAAGTGAAGCCACCACAAGTCCTGCCCCATGGTAGGCTCATTGGCTGACCCATTCAATATCTATGAATTATAACCATTCTAATCTTCTTAGCTAAACTGTGCTGACTTTTCAAAAGCAACATTCAACACTCAGGTTCACACACACACACACAGAGGGAGAGAGAGAGAGAGAGAGATCTAATTACTTCAGACTGATCATCACATGCGAATCATAAGCTTCGAAGAGTCTACAATTGCATACAGTATTTTTGTAATAACTAGTAAAACAAATTTTCCTAATTGATCTGACGATTCTGAGCTAGATTTTGTTAGGCTTCATGAGAAATCTATAAATTTGCAAACCCTTTACTCAACACAGTATGAAGCAATAGAAGAAAACAGAAAATAGTCTTAAGTACACTGGTGATCACTGTTTACTTCAGCTTGGAGGTTCAGAGTTCACCATTGAATTATGCCCCTTGGAAGGACCAGAAGGAGGGATAGGAACCCCTTTGGGTAATTTATTCAATAGCAACCTTGGATATGGATAAACATTTTCCGTCTTTCGTGGGTAATCCGTCAAATTCTCCGGCCACATCTCTGAAACTCCGTCCACCTCCACCATCATCATCTTCCCTGTTCTAGTTGCGAGGCAAGAACCGATTAGAAGGAAGAGAAAAGAGAGAATGTAAAAGAGGTGCCATGAAAGGTGTATAGGTTTAGAAGATGATGATGAAGCCATGAGAGAGTTTTATGAATTAGGGTTTTGGAAATGAGTTTGTGATGATGATTTTTTTTTTTTTCAACTGAGGATGGTATTTATAAAGATTTATTTGCATGGGGAGGCAGAAAGGATTAGGAAAGAGAGGAGAGAGAAATGCATTGCACGCCAAATGACCACGCAATTTTGAATGTCAACGGTTGGGAAAAAATATTAGAAAGCTATTGGTTGCCGGCAAAGATTTTCTTTTAAGTTGGTTTTTTTTTTTTTTTTTTTTTTTGGGGGGGGGGGGATCAAATGAGAAAGATTTTCCATGAAATTTCTTGTACGTGTTTCAATTATGTCATGAAATTCATGTATCTTGACTATAAAAAATGGGAGAATTTGAAGGCCGATTTTGCATGTGGAATATTTGTTTTGGTGATTCAATGCAAAAATAAACATATAAAAATAAAATAATATTACCGTAATGCTAAAGCTCATGATATCTTAATTACCTTTTATTTATACTAGTAATGTAACACGCGTGTTGCACATAAAAAATTTTGTTAAATATTTGATAAAATACATAAAAATTTAATTATATAGTTAAATTAGATATTATCTTATATTTATCATACTTAAATTATTTGTATTGTAGATAAAGATAAAAAAAATACATATATCGATTTTTTGACACCGAAAATATTACTGTATCAATGAAATTTTCAATGTGTATTACTATTGGGGTTTAGGAAAAAAAAAGAATAATATTTTTATATATCTTGTTAAGAGCAACATGACTATTTAAAAATTTTACAAAGATAGAGATTTATATTATATGTTAGAGGTTAGTTTGTTATTTAAATATAGAGGGATATAAAGGTAATCTATAAATTTAAATATAAAAGGAAATACTAGTCTTTATAATTTTTTATAAAAGTAAAAAAGTGCATTAAAATTTTTTTATTTAAGATACTTTTATTAATAATATAGATATTTGAAAAAATGGTAACTTCTATTTCACCGGTTTAAAGTACTTTTTATAGCTTTGTGACAAGTCTAAGTTAAATGTGCTGACAACGAAGATGGTAGTCTAATTGACTGCAATATTGGGGAAAGTCTTGTCCTCTTCTAGTGGGCATAGGTTTGAGCCCACTTGCCACAGTAATTCTAGCGAATCAGATACTGCTGAAGGGATTGAATGTCCAGTTTATCTTCTGTAATGCTGTGACGACGGACTCAACCATCTCAATTCAATAGCTATGACTCAAATCAAACATTCTACAATGAGTGAAAACCTTAAAATAACGTCTTGAGAATTGCTACGCCTGATCGACCCCGACACCCTTTTACCTAGCGAAAGAAAATAAAAAAAAGTTAAATATCCTCATAAATTAAGGTAAGAGTTCAAAGTATCAGTTAATATTAATAAAATTCGATTGAGTTACATCTAACTCGGCCTTTTTATTGGTCTAACATTGTTCCATGTTTAGTACAAATCATGTGTCACCGGATAATCCCGAATTATAGAGTCATCATCATCCAATCTATTGAAGTTGCAACACCGTGATAAGATTTAAATGTTATATGATATTAAACTTTTTGTTCTTGGTAGAATCCTGTATATATTGCTTGATACGTTCCGTAACCGTTGTGTCTTAGAGCATTCTAAGTTAATGATCGATGAGTTCTCTTATAGTGAAAAGCTTGAATTTAACAGTAAGGTTCAGTCATGCCAAAGCAACCCATATTTAGTTAAGTAATTGATAGGAAGCTGCAAATCCATCCAAACCAAAAGTCATTTTAGTTTTTTGGCTATGATATGAACATGGAATGTATAGAATTATCGTAAACCAAGCAAAAATTAGAGTATTTATTATTAGATTCAAACTTGAAATCTCGATATTCTAAACTTAAAACATCCATATTCAAATTATTTTCACAAGTTCTAATATATTTTAACTTCAAAGAGTAACTCAAGTGAAAATATGAACGAGCTATAAATCCAGATATCTTGAATTCAAATTTTAATAACCTCTTGGGGCCAAACTATGAAGAATTCTCGACGTGAATAATCTGTTTTTAACCAAATGGAATAGAAAATTAGTTGAGATATGTGTAAATTAATTCAGACTCTCTTGACCGTTGAATCAAAATATTTTGCTTGTACAAAGCTGAAGTAAATGTTAGGTTTTTGTTTTAAAAATTCAAACAGTATTTACCATTAGAGGATCTTTTTTTTTTTGAGGCGTGAAGAAACCAAGCTCCTTGGACCCATTAATGCCGTATAGCATCCATTACCTACAGTGATAGAGACATCTGGTTTTGGTGCATAATCTTAGTGTCAAACACTTAGATATTACAATATTTAAATTAGTCCTCTCACAATATTTAAATTCATCACGTTTAATAATATTCAACTGTATCCCAATTTGTTTATATACATATATTAGTAATAATTCCGTGTCAGAAGAAACTTTATAATGCTAAAAATTGAACATTAATCATATTATATTTCTATTTTAAATAGTAATTTATTTTTACTTTTATTTTCTTTAATTATACAATTTAAAATTAAAATGAACAACAATGCTATACACACCAAAATGCGCGCCAAATCATCTACAATCGTTAGATTAGTAACTCTCATCAATATTTGATGAATAGATAGAAAGAGGTACGAGAGAGACAGAGAGAGAAGAGAGAGAGAGGTGTGAATTAATATTTGGAATTAAAGAGTGTGTTAGTAGAATTGTCTCACATTAGAGACCGTGTAGAGAAATATGATGTTTTCTTGCAGAAAAATAAATTTGAGATAAATTGTATACCATTTGATGAAAACAAATAAAAATTGGATTGATTTAATCGTTGTTGTACTTTTATAAGATGAGAATTCAACTTACTAGTTATTGTTTGTACTGAAGGCACAGAGTAACAAAATATGATAAATCATAAATATATTTGTATTCATATCTAAAATTAAATCACAAACATAAAAAAAAAGATAAAGAATTTAAGCATCGATTTGTAGTGGGAGTGAGATTAGGTGGAGATAGTGGTGGTGGCAGAAGACGGTGATAGTTGTGGTGGGTGGCAATGACCGTGATGGCAACAGCGGCAGCAACGGTGGTGGTGATGGTGGCTATAGCGGTGGCGGCAATAGCAGTGGTAATGGTGGAGGTGGAGGTGGAGGTGGAGGTGGAGGTGGTGGGGTGGGGGTGGGGGTGGCGGTGTTGGAGGCGGTTGTGAGGGTGAGGGTGGTGGTGGCGATAACAGTGGCGATAATGATGGTGGTGGTTGGTGACGACGACGACGGTGATAGCAACGATGATGGTGTTGGTGGCGGTGGTAGTGGCGAGGGTGGGGGTGGGGACACGGTGGTGGTGGGTAGTCGTGACAGTCGTGGCGGTGACGACGACAATAGTGGCAGTGGTGGTAGTCGTGGCGGCGGCTGCTTGCAGTGGCAGTGGCAGTGGCGATGATGGTGGTGGTGGCGGCGGTGGCGGTGGCGGGCATGGCAGTGGCGGTATGGGTGGCGGTGATAACAGGTAGTAGTGAGGCGGTTTCAAACACTATTTTTTTTTAAAGGATTTATAAGAAAAAAA